CAAGCTCGGCGAAAGACATAAAAGCAAGGGAGTTATTGACGATCAAACAGTGTTCACATTTTTTTGGGACACCCTGTATAAACATCACTGATGTGTTTCTGTGGATTACGCTTTACAATATGTTTAGTTTACCTTTAGTCAAGTATTGCAGTCTCATCTGGGGTCCTTACCTCTCCAAACATATAACAATAATTGAAAACGTGCAAAATCATTTATCAAAATACTCTACTGTTGGGCTTTTCCTAATAAAAAGTATCCTGTTTCGTCTCCAAAAGCTTAATTCAAAAGTTTATACTACAGAAGAGTTTAAACAGATCTCATTTTTGCACTCAAAATTTTCAAAGGGAAATCCGCCTAAAACCCTCTACTTTCTGGTGCTTCAGTCCTGTTTACGGAAGGCACTCCTGCATCGCTTTTCGTTATCCTAAACTGCCTACATCACATCATTTGTTGAGCACATTTGCTTTCAGAACAGCCAAATGGATTGAAAGTCTACCCACTGAACTTACTTCTACATCAGAAAAATCCTGTCAACTTCAGAAAAGCACTGTCAAAAGTCGACATACTTCAACAACTGCGGATACCGGACGTCAAATGATAGCACCGTATTTACTTTTTTTGTGTAATACCTCATATGAAACTAGCACTTGGTTACCGTTTCGGTCTGTTTTCAGTTAACCAGAAAGCTTGAATTACATCCCCGAATTAGACTTTCATATTTCCGAACACACAGTTTTGCCCTTCTTTGCCTGTGGAGGTTGCGGGACCTGGTGGCGTTGGCAGGACGGATATTCGGTGAGCGGGTGCATTGGTGGCCCCCTACCGTATGAATATGCCGGCGGGACCTGCCGGTCTATCCATTTGCCTGGTCTCCGCCCTGTCCATGCTGCTTGTCTCTACACGTCTGTTGGCATGCTGGGGAGGCTGTTGTGATTTATTCTACAAATGGAATTTCTACTTACGGGTGTGTCATTTTAGCTTATCGTTAGTGTTATTTTTAATCCTCTATACGTATCTACCTCGTATCATGTAGTTTTCTTTGAATCTGTTAGAGCACGTCAATATGCGTATGGAATAAAATAAAATAATGTTTCGATAATTATCGCATTCCTTGACTCTCAAATTTTTATGTACAATTACATCCTAAAATAGGAAACACTAGCTGACCTCCCGGCTCCGCCCGGTCCTGTCAAGACACTATTATAAAGAACCCATCTTTGTTCATCCCTTCCCTGTGCTCACTTCTTCATGCCAATTCGCTATTCCCACTGTGTTAGTAATCAGCAGCTCACTTATCCTCCACCTTGTACCAATTCTCGACCCTCAGCTCGAACATTGCAAAAAATCGATAGAATCGGTAGAACTCAGATTATCGCTAAGGGCAGGCGGGCACCGGAAAAAATATATTGCTGATTTCTCGCACCCCGCTCGCGGATTTTTTGGAAAGCAATCTGGACTTTTCGGAAGACCGCTTGCTGAGTCAGCGGATTTTTGAGAGACCGCCTGTTGATTTTTTTTCGCTTTTATCTTTTGCAGATATATTGCTGGATCTCTGAGGAATCGAGAACTCAGCAAGCGGTCTTCCGAAAAGTCCTGATTGCTTTCCAAAAAATCCGCGAGTGGGGTGCGAGAGATCAGAAATCTATCTTTCCAGTACCCGCCTGCTCCCGGCGATTGTCTGAGAAGTAGGCGACAATTTTGAAAAATAATATTGTATCAATCAGAATGCTAGTTTACCCCTCACCCTGTGCCAGCTCCCAGCCCCGCAGCTCAAATTTCGCAAAAAAAATCAACAAAATAGATAAAAGTAATGGATAATGGCAAAAACAATACTGTATTCGTAATCAGCATGCTCGATTACTGCCTGTGCCAACTCCCAGCCCCGTAGGTCAAACTGCATAAAAATCGATAAAAATAGATGGAATCGATATATCGATCGATGACGAAAAGCAGTCTATGACACCCGCCCGCCCCGAAGTGTATGTGTGCCGAGTTTGGTCCGGATCGGTTCAGAAATGAAGTTTTCTGTTCGGAACATACGTACACACAGACAGACAGACATACAGACAGACATAAAAACACATTCAGCTTCATATATAAGATTTACAACACCTACGGACTGTCATCCCATTAAAAGAGAAAAGATCACTGCATTTTTTGATTTCAAAAGCATCAACAATCTTTTTCAGTGAACAGCTGGCTTAAGGAGTTTTCAAGCTTTTGTTTATTTGAAGCGGGTTATAAAATCTACTAAGCCTTTTTGGTAAAAGAGATGAAGAGCGCTATCATGAACACTGCGTAGTCGCTGATATTGACGGACAAACTTCCACCTATAGGATTGAGGCACTTTTGCACCGCACAACTCGTCAAGCAACAGAAATTAATGTACAGGGTGCAGAAAAAGTACTGTCCCTCAAAATAAAACCAGAAAATCGGCGTAATTCTTAGGTTTTTCTGGTAAACTTGACACAAATCCCAAGATGTGAATGTATTCTACCATTTTACAAAAACTGGCCAAAAAATTCTGCGATCTCACCCAGCGTCCCTTTTCGCTACGCATCCCATATCAAGCTTTGCAACTCCCTTTTACAAGTGTGAAGGAAGTGTGATGTTTTTTGGAAAATTCTTTTGTTTTCAACGTGGATTGAGAAATCCTCTATTGCTTGAGGAATGTTGTAGTGTCTTCGAAATATGCTAGAAGTAGCCAGACCGCAGTTGCAGTAGGAGGAAATTTTCGGGAAGCTTTCCAGAGAAATAGCGTCTGCGGCGCAATAGGGTGCTACCAACAAACGTGGCACAGAAACTAGGTATGATTATTTATCGCTTCATAATCGTGATGTAGACAAAGTCCCATGCCCTTTTCATTATTCCTGTTACTTTTAGTTTAAATCTGGAATTTCGAATCATAGTTTGAATATAATTTATTCAAACAAGCGCAGTCCTAACTCGCCTCTTTTCGAAAATTTTTGCAATTTGTGTGTGATAAAATCTTCCTTATTTGGCCAAAATAAAAGTCACCAATCTATAATTCTTCTATAATGGGTAGAGAGTATTGGAGAAGAGGTCATGCGCTACATACCAGCACAATTTGAACCTTGTATTGATGCTGGTGGTGTAGTTACGGTCCAAAGTGCGCTTATATGCTATCGGCGCATCGTTAATGTTCTTGCGCGCTATTATCACTCGTTCAAACGGACAAAAGGAAACAGTTTTAAATCAAACTCATTAACTAATCCCAAGGGTCTCGCTTACGCATGGGAATCAAAAAACTACAGATTTGCTTTATGTTTGAGGTGTTTCTGGAGCCAAACTGGAGGGACAGTATTTTTCCGCACCCTATAATGTAGCTTTACGACATCCATAAAACAGTTAACTTGTGTGCATGACTAGGAAAAAATTTCGGGTTTGAGCCTTTTGGTTCATCCGCAGTTGACACCCACTGAGTTTTTGTGGAGCACCCTGCACATCATAGCCAACTCAGATCACGAGATAAAATAGGAGATGCTTAAACCTTTGGAGTCTTAGCTAATCTCATTCATCGGGTGAAATGTGACATGAAACACAGAAAGAAATAGGGAGATTAATAGTTATGTAAAATAATCTCCTCGTACAGCATTTTCGTGGAAAGTTGTTCAGATCTGAATAGCAACTTCATCATTAGGGAAAATCAGAGAGTTGCTACAAAAGCTGCATCACCATGTAGGCAATATAATAAATCAAACCCAGTGCCTTATGAACATTGCAAACAGAGTTTTGTGGGATAAAATCGTGACAACCCTATAATGAGGTTGGAGTCTGACCGTCATTATCAGCGATTGTGCAGAGTTTATGGAAGCGTTCTATACCTCATTTACAAAGAAGCTTAGAAGATTTTATGACTTAAAAAAATGCAGTCATTGTTTCTACTTGAATAAGGTAACAGCCCGTAAGTGTTGCAAAGGTTTCATAATTGAGGGCTTTTTCGAATTTTTCTGTTCTCTCCCTTCAAACATGACAAGATTGGAAGCTTTGAGGAGGTCATGGTAGGTTAGCTTGCGCGCAATACAGCAAAGTTTGAGACAGATTTATTGACAAGAACGAAAATTACGACAATGTCTAGAGTGTCTTTATAATTATGTCCAGCATTGTATAGAGTGGAAAAGCTGCATTACCCACATTGATTCGTTCGTCCGCCATTTTAAGCTTTTGTGCTTATAGTTATTTGCGCCTTGCGGTTGTGCTAATCATCGTTGTTGGAAACTCGTGACCTCAGATATGCACCTCAGTTCGGCTGTCAAGGGATCCTAGCTTTTTCACCCTTCAAAATAACTATTTTCTGAGCTGGGGTCCGCTTTGGGACAGGGCTTGCCCTGTAATGGCATCTAGAAGAATTTGTTAATAAAGGGGCGAGCATGGAATTACGTTACCAACTGCCAGTCTACCTCAACTCTGTCCCTCCTCTGCTTGAAATTAGAGACGCGGTTACGTTGCCATGCCAGCGCTCCCGCCCACTTGCGCCTTCGTGCGTCCAAGGCTACAGTATGCTATGATGACTCAACAGACGAACTGCTCAAGCTCGCTATGACGGTTTTAAATCACTGGAAGAGGTTCACCGGTAATTTTGAAATAACTCTAAATAATCTGATCTAGACAACTAAGCTGTGACAAGTACCCAGTTCAATTAGGAAAAAATCAATTTCTCGGGTTTTTAGTACACCCCCTTATTTTGAAACCTGTACATTATAACCACAAAAACCCAGTGCAAAACTCTGCTATGATCACCGCGATCAAATTTGCTTGGACTTCACCCGCACGAGAAATGTAATAGCAGATAAATGCATTTATTTTCGTGCTAAAATAATAAGCACAGAGATAAAAAACATTGCACAAAACATTGTCAAGTACAGCATACCGAGAGATTCTGCAACAAAAAATACACAGGATTCACAGAAATATTCTTATGTTTACATAAACCACAGATACCGTAAAAAATCTACATTGAATTTAGCCATCAATCTCAGTTATGCGACGGTCATATTCCTGCCACATACCGTGCAGCCCATGTACTAAAAATGCGACTCAGTTTTTTTCATATAGTGCAATATTACCTGCAGAATAACGTAGTTTTTTTCATATAATGCAATATTACCTGCAGAATAACGTAGTTTTTTTCATATAATGCAATATTACCTGCAGAATAACGTAGGAGTGCCCTACGGGCAACTGATGCGCTGAAGGTGCTGCATCAAAAGGTCCGAAAAACGTGTCTCCAGACCTGAACGTTTGAGGTATCATCATACAGTAAGCATTTCATTATCAAAGGTTTCCCATTTACCTTGCATCTTATCTTCCTGGTTCAGTTAGATCCGTATTCATTTCACTGCTTGATCGAACAGGAACAAACGGATCTGGACGAACAGGATTCATGCCAAGAAGTTGCCAAACGATTGATTGCAGCAAACACTCTTCCTGAAAGGTGAAACTATACCGTGGACACAGAATAACATGAAACGTGAATGCCAATGCACAGATAACAGATGCACGCTTGGGCATTGATGACAGGCGGCGAGCATGCCATCATGTGATAAGTACAATATGTCCGGAACGTAGCATGCCGCGCCGTAAAAGAGGTCAATAACTTCTGCAGCCTTTCCGCTCTAACTCGGCATCAATGCCCTAGAATCACCCAACAAGGTCAAATCATTATCATACAGTTCCGAAAACACAACGCCATGTTACAGAGTGCTTAATTTGAAACTCAACCACTTTTCCTTTGATTAGGGTTAAAATTTGCACTTACTGGTATTCTAACATGTTTTTTTCAAAGATGCTTGTGGTTTTCCCTGAAGCTTTGAAATTTTATAAAATTTTTCGAAAAAGTCAGCAGTCAGAGATAAATTTCAAGGTGTCAAGCAAAACCATAACCAAATTCGGAAACAGTAGATCACAAAATATTTGAAAATTATCTTCACCAAAGTGCAATGAAATATTAGGTAGCCCCAAAACTTCTTGCACATTACTTTTGAAAAATCATAACTTCTTGCTCTCTCAACCAGTCTGCATACCCTCAATTTTCTGAATATCGGAAACCCTTTTCTTGCTGATAGTGCCTCTGCTGCTGTGTTATAGTAAGTTTAACAATTTACCCTTTCCATCTACGGAATTTTTGTCAAAAGAGTTTGTGTTCTGTGAGAAGTTATGATTTTTGTATAAGTGAAACAAAACAGCAAATTTGATTTTTTTTTGCATTTTTTTCCAGAAACATAACTCTTTAATGATTCAAAGTGACCGAAGTCGAAGTAATTCTATTCTTGTGTTTCCACTCAAAAAACTGCTCCTTAGGGAGCATCAAAGCCACTGTCACGAAGAAAAAGGTCTTCCCTACTTACCGCACAAAATCAAAGGATTGTGTAAACCCGTTGAGAGAGCAAGAAGTTGTAATCTTTCAAAAATGATGCCCAAGAACTCCCGGGCCAACCTTACATCACCTAGCTCTGAATTTTGCGCGTCATTTTCCAAAAATCGTAATTTCTTTCCCAGGTAACTATTTTGCACGGCAAAAATGCTGTTGGAATCAGTAATTCATACTTTTTAATAATCTGCAAAATCGATAGATTTTGCTTTTATAAATCTATAAAATAAAATAATCTCATTGTAACTCTATTTTGGTGGGCTTCCAATATACACTCATTGCAGAAATAATAAAGAAAAACGAGGACACATGGGCTTTGCGCATTTTAAGTTAGGTAGTCAAAATTCTGGAACGTTGCGAAAAAGTCGTTTGTACCATCGGCTCCCCGATTGCTGCGAGGGCGATAGCGATGGTCAACCGATAATCAATTTATCAGCTATGTTTCAACACAGGGCAACCGCATCGCTCGCTCGGGTCCGCCCTCGCGGCAACTGAACTGAACGTATTCGGGCCAATCCCTTAAGTTATCCAGAAGGATCTCAGCGTACTCTACCGAGTTTTCTTTCATGGCTCTGTCTGGATGAGCTAATCTACCTATCTTCTCCAAGGCAAAGCAGAATTCTGCGACATCTGGTATGGTCTGATCCTGAGAGACCTTAGCTCAGCCATGGCCCTCATCCTACTAGCTACCGAATCCCCTGCTAGCAATTTTCCCAATTCTTCAATCACTTCATCAAACCCCTTATTTGTTATTGTCCTAATGCTAATGTCCTCATTACATTCTTTGCCTGCCCACCTAAGTGACTGTCAGCTAATATAGCTATAAGGGTGTCTGTATCTGTGATTACTTTAGCATACTTTCTCTTGAATTTTCTTACAAATTTTCCGAAGTTTTCGTTGGACTTCTCATGAAAAACACCCGGATCCGAACTAGAGAGGGATTGAACATAATCTAGAAATCGCAAATCATCTTGCTGACCTCTTAGTTCCACGTCCCTGTCCCCTAAATGCGAACTGGGTGATCCCGACACAAAGTTGTTTAAGTTTTGTTCGAATAGCGCTCCAGTCCGCCTTGGATTGTACTGCTGGGGCTGCAAAGTATCTCTTTGATAAGCAGTCTTCTCTATGCCTACTACAGTTTGCATTGACTCACCCTGCTTAACTTTTTCCGTTACCTCCCTTCTTTTTGAGGTCTTGAATGGCTGCCGACACTGAAGCACATCATATTTAGCATATTGCATGCTTGTGCCAGAATCTCCCTGTTTCTCTCAGCCACCCTTACAAACTCTCTCCAGTCCTCCACTGATTGTATACCTAATGTTTTCATGGCTTCGGACATACCGTCCCGTTCATCCTCTATACTACGGCACTGTCTGCCACTTCATTTAGTTCCCCACTCAACTCTCTCACTTTTTCCCTCATGGACATTTCGCATTTTTCTTTGTACCTGGCTGAAATTTTGTGCTCCATCATCTCACTTGATGTCTCTCCAGGTACCCTTTCCAAATCCTTTCTTAGCCTCTCAATCCTTCTCTCTATACTATCATAGAAACTCACATCTCTGTGTCCATGTGCTCTTCCGGCGCTTGAGCTTCTTTGCTCTCTTCCATCCGCTTTCTGCAAAAACTAAGTTAGTTGTGCTTTCCTCTTCACAACAACGACGAATTCGGCGTTCGCCCTTACGTGCAGCGAAAAGAAAACAACGATGATTTCGAAATTCGCCCTTACGTGCAGCGAAAATTACTAAATTGCAGAAAGTGGCTCGGCCCTTATGTAAGGGATAGTGTGGCCACTGGATAGTAATCCAGCCGATGATGTTCCGCCGAAGATGATGCTAACAGCGAAGAAATATCTTGAGGAGGGCGGAAAAATAGTCACTGCATGGCCACCGATAACGTCGAAGAATCATGAATTGTGGCGTGAACTATCGGGATTATGGAAGACCTTTGATGAGACGATGAGCCCCGGAAGGAGGCGCGCAGTTCTTCAGTAGTTATGTGGGAACCGCCATGAATAAGTATATTTACGAATGTGTCAAAAGACGAGCAGTGGATGCTTACCTGCCCGAGTTGGACGTTTACAGACCGCGTATCAGGACATCGAGGACGATGTCTTCAGGAGGGGAGGGCGTGTCAGGCCCATGGCCACCAAAGAGAAGACCAATTTAGATCAAAGGCGATCGAAGGCGCGCTAGGACGGCAGGGAGGCGCCGCAGGCGATCTCAGTTCATTGTTGATTTGTTTGTTGTTCCGACGCCACGGAAAGTGGCGTCCGTCTTGTTTTGTTTTTTTGTTTTCCTAATAAAAATAAACGCATTCTGTTGTCTGTTCTTTGCTCGCTAAAAGGGTAACATCCCTTACATCATGAGTTTTCAGAAAGAATGGTAATACACCGAATTGGTAGATCGTTTGGTCAATGTTCCTGGTCTGTATCTTATTTCACCAGCATTGGCTCTCCAGATTAGCACTTTCTCCCAACCAGGGCAGTTTTATGCAAAGTAGTTATGATAGTTTTTTCTGAGTCTGCCTTTGAGTTCCACCTCTGTCAAAGAATTTTGTACGATTGGAAATTTGTTTTAAGTCCATGTCACGCCTTCTGGGCCCTTTCGACCGAATGCCGACAGCTGAGGTATTGCCAAGCAGTCCGGAACGACATTTTATACTACGGGTTGGCCTGAATTAGCGTAATTGAAAATCACACCTTAGTAACTTTTCAGAAAGTGGCTCGTCTAGGATAAGTAAGCATGTTTCACTTCATCAAAAAAATCATCGAGTAAGCTATTAGCATTTACATTACGCTAGATTTTTCACCTTTCTATTTCATGCGTTGCAGATCGTCTTCAGGTCATCCACGCCGCCCTCTCTCCCCATCTACTTCACCGGGTATAAGTCGTCTGCGCGATGGTAAAATTCCCGGTCATTTGATACCGAGAAGATACTACGCAAAGTAGGTGAAAAAGGTTTCCTATTTTGGCAAGATGTTTGAATCTCTATAAAGGTTGTTATGCAACAAATTTAGGTCTGAAAACGCAGAGTTTGGGCCTTTTGAGGCACTCCCAATGGCACAGGATCTACCTGCAGGAGATTCGTATGTGATTTTGCAGGTAATATTGCATGCAATTTGAAATAAAAAAAAACTTGGGATAAATTTTTTTGACGATATGGGCTGCATGTCTAACGAGAAGAGACTGTATCGCCATATAACTCAAACAGATCGATAATTTTTTTGGAGATCTGATTTCGATGTATTTTTGGCTGTAAATGTATTCTCTTGAAAAGTCTTGTATATAATGAATTTGCAATAAGCACTATGTACGAATTTGCTTTCCTTGTTTTTCCTTTTCATTCAACAGCTGTCATAATAGGCATAAATAAGATTTGTTTTTGAAAATAAAAGCATTTTTCCATGCCAGTAGATTGTATGTGAATTGAAAATGGAAACAAGGCAAAATCGTTATGTCCAGCCCTCATGGCAGAGGTAATAAAAATTATCAAGTGTTAGGAACGTAACTGGCACCCAGTCTGCACCGGACAGGTGCTAATTCTGCACACAGTTATCAAGCCTTCATTCTAAAGTGTGTCAAACCGAGATTTTCCTAAATCAATTTCAAAGTCGGTAATACTGTCGTTTAATTGAGGCAAGAATTAGTATTCCAAACGGTTCTCTCTCGCTGTTTCCGAACATGATATTGGCTCTGCTTTAAGTCCTAAGATCCTTCTTTTTGTATTTCGAATTTTTTTTTTGATAAACGAATTTTTCAAATTTTCCATCTATGGTTTTCTTTAAGGTTGTTTTCAAGCTCATACAATGCTTGAAACTTCAAAAAAAATTTCGATATCCAACATTTCCAATATACTATGTTGGTTCGAAAGTGCTGTCGCACTGATCAAATAGCTCTTCCTTTCATTATACTGCGGCTCGGCACTAATTTTATTAGCAAGGGTCACTCATGCTTTTTGACGCTTTAAGTAATCACTGCAATGCTTTGAATGCAAAGTTATAGAAAAAGGAGATTTTTTGATGTTAAGCGATTTGATCATAACTTATCAAAGAAGAGCTCGATTAGCATATACTTCGTTCATTTGGAAAGAAAAGGTCAGAAAGTTTATGACATTATCTATTAGGTCGTTTCAAAAGTAATTTCGCTTTTTTCAAACGGGCACCACATTTGACGGAATAAAGATTTTTAAGAGATCATTGAATCTTTCGATGCAGAATTTCATTCTCTTTTTAAAGGTTATGAAACTGTTGCAAAACAGTCAATGAGCTTTTAGAAAATAACCAGAATCTGCGACCCATGCTTTTTGAGATGGGCAAGTTTCACGATTTTTTAAAACTTTCATGTCAATCCTCAAAAGGAGTTCAAGTAACGATACGATAGAGTAAACCTTACAGGATACAGCACTACTTTTTCCTGCTTTCCATAGCTTGTCATACATTTTTAACAGAATTTTAACTAATGCTACCGATTTCCATACTTGGGCAGCTAAATCCTCGCAGGATATCAAAAGAAGAGCAGCTCGCGCAGTTATCGACGCAGCATTTTTTCCTTTTTCTAACAGGTGTTTTTTGTTTCCGATTCGTTCAGTTTCCGGGGAGAAATCATCATAACTCATTTTTTTAGCGAGCCCAGGCTGTACCCGAAAAATTCGAAATTTGATATTTCGAATCCGTAAACTCTCACTTGCTTGTAAAACTAATATTGAGTCATATACCGTCTTGGAATTTTCGAATTCCGAATAATTACCGTTGTTTGATGCGATTGTGGCTGCCGTAGGCCTGCCAAAATCCGATGGTTTTCTTGAAAAGTCTTTTGAAAAGTGACGGCGAGCTAGAAGAAGAGAAAAAAGCAGTATCGCATTCTATAAGGTTTACTCTATGGAATCCTTACTTAAACTCCTTTTGAGGATTGATGTGAAAGTTTTAAAAAATCGAGAAACTTGACCATCTTAAAAAGCATGGGTCGCAGACTTTGGTTATTTTCTGAGAGATCATTTAACGTTTTGCAATAATTACATAACCCCTGGAAAGACAATGAAATTCTGCATCGAATGCCTCCAAAATCTCTTAAAAACTTTGGATCCATCAAATGTGGCGCCCGTTTGAAAAAAGCGAAATTACTTTTGAAACGACCTAATATTTTGGATTTTTTGCACAACTTTTGATTATTTAAAGGGCTTCTCTCGTTGACCCTCAAACAGTTTTAATTGTTTATACATCTTTGCGAAAAAAGCTCTTTGGAGGGCAACCAGAATGCCATTAAAACGAGAGACAATCTAATGTACAAAAATCGACTGCACAATTATTCAGTATTTATTACAGTATCTATGAGGGTGCCCCAGCGCTAAACGAATTTTATATCGATTATATGAAAACCAGTGCGTCACCTCTGCTTTGCAGAGGCTCACACTGGCTCTACTTACCTCGCGATGCCGATCATTACGAATGAAATGTAAACAACTACTCATTCTAAAAGCTTTTTCATGTGAGATCGGCGACTTTGAGGGAAAGAAAGTATTCTCCAAAGGAATGAATGCGATTTTGAATCAGTTACTGGGATTATAATGGCTTGATAGTCGCCATAAATATGATAACAATCGTGAGTTACTTTCTGCGCAAAAATTTTCTCACATTCCCAGGTAAAACCTTGACAAATCGATCATCTACGCGATTAATTCTTTTGGCGCCAGTCTTGCTTAAATTAAATTTTTTGCTCACTTTTAGGCTCTGGAGTCCATGGTTTGCGGATTTACTTGCTGAACGAAACCATGACTTTGGAAAAAGTCAAATTGTAGGCACACTTTGGCGCGCGAAATTTGGCGTGGATCCGTTTGGCGCACAATTTTACAGGTTCCAATTATCGGATCGGCTTGTGATTTTGCATATTTTACCTAGATGCTGATAGGCTGCTGCTACCAAAATTGTAGCTCAAGACCTTTGCTGGAACTCGCTCTACGAATTTCGTGACAGACAGAGATTCACACACACAGACAAACGTAAACAACCCTTAGCCCGTTATTATAAGTTATGATATATGAATGTGAGACTGCAATTCTTCGTACATTAAATCACAGCATTGTGGGTGGTCCTAAGCGCTGATTGAATTTTGCACCAAGTCATATGAAAACAGTGAGGAAAATATTTGAAATCACAAAAAATCAGCACCAACTTAAAAAGAAAAACGAGTTGCGCTTCGTTTGACACTGTAGCTTTCGGTAACAGTATGGATGGTTCACGGTGC